GTAATAGGGTTTATGAAGATTAAATAACCGGAACCAATGTTTTCTGTTTTTTAATCTTCATAAACCCTATTACTAATCTCATTTAAGTCTCAACGCCTTGTAAGAGGTAACTAAAGGGAGGACACCTAGTAAAGCCACCTCCATTGTATGTCTAGTGCCTCTTGTACTACACATGTAACACTGGAGAACTTGAGTTTAAAAATATGTGTAATAAATACTAAATATAATAAATATTATTTATTTGAATAAAGTGGTCCACATATAGGAGGTAAACATTTTCAAAAAATGAATAAAAAAGTTGCTACTTCATCAATATTCTAGAAGAAAATAAAGCTATTTTCAATACTATTGTTTTTAGTTTGTCTTAAAAGTCCGTAATTTCATCTGATTGAAATCCTCTTACTTTTAATCTTGAGACTTACTTGGTTTCTTATAATTGTAGAAATTTGTATACGAATAAATTTTTAATTTTAAGATTCGCAATTAATTTTTTGTGAATCTTGATATTAAGATTATCATATTTATTTATAGATGAAATAATTATTTGTTCCGGTAGTATAATAGTGTAATTATTTCGGCAAATTATTATTTTCCATTAAATTTATGCGGTGTTTCCATGAAATTGTTTAGGATTCCTCAATATATTGAGTTCAGTAGGAAAAAAAAAAGAGAAAAATAAAATGGTGGTTGGCAATCTTGTTTATCATCGTATTTATCGTTGTGGTAATTGTTTGTTTACTTGTTCCCAAAAATTAGGTTAAGTGTCACAAAATTGAATAATTTTGAAACACTTCTATACATTTAAGGTGATTTTGTTTTATTATTTATACTTTTCAGCTTTTAATAAGTCGGAAAGCAATAAATGCGTTTATATATAACTTATGAGTGGCTGTCAGCATTTTATTTGCAAATCTGGATGACAAACTAGAAATCATGATTTCTGCTGCAGATCCACAGGTATTTAATCACCTTTTTGGTAACGTACACGAACAGTCTTAATTATTTTTTAAAGGAATTTGTTCCAAGTGGACGGCAGCATATTTTACGTCATCCAGGCCTATATGAAAAATCTAAAAATTCAGAACAGTGTGATTCTCCAGACTTTCTTTCAAATGAATTTGAAAAAGTAGCTATTAATGAATCAAAAGGTACTGAAAAGTGGTTAATTCGTTCACTTTCGGAAATAGGTTCTACTCATATATCAACTCATGGTACAGAGGCAAACTGTGAGAAGGGGACTAAGCCAGAAAACATTAATAAAAGAAAACTTTTTATAAATGATTCATGGTTATTTAAAAGTGTCGATTTAGACAAAACACAAAAACGTTCATCTAGAAAATTTAATGAACTCAGGTCTAGTGTTTCAGAGAGTAACAAATCTCATATTGATATTGAAACTTCTGTATCCACTAAAAATCCTGTCCCGTTATATATAGTACGGTATAGGTCTAATTTAAAATGTATGGAAGAAGAACTTTATATTAAAGACAACACAGTTATTTGGTCATGTGGCTTAGTCTCCACAGGGAGCAATTATGATTCATCAAATAGAGTAATTAAGAAGTCATTCACTTTAATAAATCCTATTAAACATGCCCTGTGGTGTAAATTTTATTGTGAGCATCCCAGTTTTGGAGATAGCACAGAGACAAATGATAAGGCTAATGTACCAGTAGGTGAACCAATAAGTTGTGTTTGCATAGTTGATAATGAAAATCTTTATTCATATACTGAGACTAATGAAGACTTTGTTACTTCGTTACCATTTGCTATAAAAAAGGTTTATGAATGTAAATTTGGCATTTTGGTAGAAAAGGAAACAAAGGGTAAGTTGTTACCAGAACTTTATTATAACTTCTCATTTTTTTTAAATTTTCTGGGATATCAAAACTTGTTCACTTAATCAATAAGCACTTTCTTTAACAGAACATGATGATGTTGATGATAACTTCATGTTACCAACTATGTTTTCACTTACCCATCCTCTAGACGAATTCAGTCCCCTTGCAATTAAACAAGGTCCTGTTATAAAAATAATGGATGATTCTGCCAGAACTATTATCTTCACTTCCAAAAATCCCAGTTTTTGTGTTATTTATGATGAAAGGTTGAGACAGCACAGCATTTATTTATTGCGAAAATTACAAAGTAATGAAAATGTGGAAATGTCTGTAAAGTCGTTCAATAAAACGGCCCCATCGATTGGCCTGTCAGACAGGGTATGTTTGAGTAATAGTAACTGCAAAGTAGTAAGCAGAGTTTAGAGTCATTATTTTGTACTTTAGTTGAGAAGTCGACTTTCGCTACTTGCTGAACGTGAACAAAAACGCAGTTTCTCACAAGGTACTCCTTTCAATAGTCGATTAGGGAGCGCCATTAATAGTCGGTCCCAAAGTTCAATGGCGACCATTAGGTACTACTAAAGTTTTGTTGACTTATAATTTGCCAAATATACTTAGAGACTCTTGGTAAAATAGGTATTTTTAGTCGATGTCAATCCCCAGCAATGTCACCTTTGGTGACTGAAGGACCATTACTTAATAAATTGTTTCGACATAACATAACTCGTAATGCCGAATTGTATTCAAGCTTTCCATTTGACACTAGAAACACTGAAATTACTGAAACAACGTATCAACTCGATCCCTCCTTTTGTTTGGAACTCCTGTGGACAGATAACGTTCTGTCTCAACAGTAAGTTCGATGATACTTAAATTTGAAATACGCCCGTCATTTTTATTAAATTATTACATTATAGAAGTAACGTTGGACCGGCCTCTAAAGTATTTTTAATCAGCGATCTAGCAGGTCGTCAATTTTTGTGTTATTTAATTTCCACCCTTTCGCAATTAATAATTATTGAAATGGTCGCATCGAAAAGCAATTACTTTAATTTTAACTATGTAACAAGTATTCCTGCAAAAGATGCTGATGTTATTCCAGTAAGTAGTCTTACGATTAAAGTAATTTTATGATATTATTATGTAAATAATTACAGCATCTGCATATGGTGGCAGTATTAGATCATAATAGTAACATAAATCTGTATTCTGGTACCACTTTGGTGGGAAAACTCCATATTGGTGGAGTGTTAGTACAGCACAGTCCTTCTCCTTATGCTATGCGAAGTATTCCTCAATTTAATTCTCCCTTCCCGAGGTATATTAATCTACAATAAGTTTTTATTACGCAATTTTTTAATTTTTTATACTTGTTTGAAGGCGGAGCACTTTGCTTCCACATTATAGTACCCCTGTAGCTGATCCTAATTTTGAGGAACATTTATTGAGCCCAGTTTTACCACTTACTCCGTCTGAAAAACGTGTTGGTGTTATGTTAACTCCTGAGGCTTACACAACAGGTAAATGAAATTACGACTTTCTAGGATATCTCCAATATATTATCAAAAAAAAAGATATTAGAAGTAATATAATCTCAAGCAGAAAATTTCTTATTTCTAAACAATCAGTAAAAAACTACCTGTTTAATATCGGTTATTTTTAGCTAGAGCAAATAATAGGGCCCAATTAGTTGAATTGCGCGATGCTGTTGATAATCGTTTAACTCTCCGATATTCTGATGGTACGTGTTACCGAATAACATTTCCGGATATAACATGCAGCTCCCTGATTAACACGTGTTTAAACGCAATGAGATGTACACTTGAACGAGACATTGTGGTAGTACTTATATCCAAATGGTATGCCATCCGTAATGCACCAGGTTCATCTAATTATACCCAAGAGAAAGAATGGATAATATTCACAGGGCTAATTTTTGGTAAACATTTTTGATAAAAAAAAACACAGAATTTGCATGTTGGTTTGTAGAATTACTGGGCTATAGTGAAGAAGACCACGAAATACAAACGTACCCCTACAGCACCCCTTCGAGTGCTCCAAAGAAACAAAGAACATGTAGCAAAGGTTCAGATCATGATTGGAATCAGTTATTAAACTCGGATTGGCATAAAAATGTTAACAATAATCTTTCGCGAACCCTGAATTTAAAGAAAACAATCTCTTCACTGGAATCTCCAAATAAAAGTAACAGAATACATTCGAACATCAACGCCACCCTTTTTCCTCATATCTACACGATCTTTTTCACTTTGCATTTGGTTTATGAAGATTTAAAATTAAGCAGCTTGCGTTATAACGAGCTTCCCTTATTAGCTAATTTCTTGAACAGATTGTCTTCAGATATTGGACTTCATCAATATGAAGTGCAATATTGGAAAGAGTTTCCAGATAATTGTGAAATTCGAGGCGTAAATAACGATAAATGTATTTCAAAAAACAGTTTAAGTTTTGTTGAGAATAAAAATTTAATGGGAAACAAGGTCGAGAGTGTTTTCAAATTTGTTTTTGATCTACTTGACGGCAAAGATGTGGAACCGTTCCCTTATATTGAAAATGTTAATGTCAAAACGAAGAATATTTTACAGGTTGTGCATTCTTGAAGCCGCTATTGTAGTGTATCTTAAATTAAATGTTTTTAGCTTTGCGGTTTACTTATCAGTGGTTCATGTTGCCAAGTCGGCACCATTGAATTGGATAAATTCGTGAAACAAATTTCATTACATAGCGAAATTCAATCGGAATCTTTTGTAAAAAAGACAAATTCTATTAAAGTAGAACATGACGTAGCTAAGAAAGTTGTCTCTTTGATGACTGAAATGGGTATCACGAACAAGGAAATGGATACACTTCCTTCCGGAATAAATTTACTGTTGCACGATGCTCTTTGGCAATGTCGTGAGAACCCTCCCCCTGACTGGTCTGCCAAAGCCTATAATTTATTACAAAGGCCAGATTTAGCCGCTCAGGCTCAAATAATTGAAAGGGTATAACCACAAACATGATATATGCTAGTAAGATTACATGATTATATTCATTTAAGGGCAAGTCTGAATCATCCATTGATAAATATGGAGCTTGTGGGTCTCTTCAAGAAATATTACCAACAATTAAACAAGTGGATGATATAGAAAACGAGGACGGTATGGAAGATATAGACAATACTTTGCTTAAAATGCGCTTTCCAGAAGATCACAGAGTAGCAGAAGCTAGAAAGCTTCTTCAAAGTTCGAAACCAGTAACCATCGCATTGATTCAGAGACCTGACGTTTCTGATCATGATTTTATAGATGAACAGGAAAAACATCTTTACGCTATTTGTTCAAGAACGATGGCTCTTCCGGTTGGGAGGTGAATATATTTTTCTAGTACACATTTAAGTAGGTATTTTTATTCACATGACGAACCTACAGGGGCATGTTTACCATGAGAACAGCTACACCTATAATAACGGAACCACTACCCTGCCCACGTTTATGTTTAACGGGTAAAACACCACCTCGGGGTGCAACGGTTGAATTAACGCACATTGACACGCCTCCAAATATGAACTTATGGCCTCTTTTTCATAATGGGGTGGCGAATGGTCTTAGAATTTCTCCGGATGCTCATAATATCGATTCGAATTGGATCGTATTTAATAAACCCAAAAATTCCATGGAAACAATGATGGAACACGCCGGATTCTTAATGGCCCTGGGTCTAAATGGACATTTGAAAAACCTAGCCATTATGAAAACCTTCGACTACTTGGCAAAGTTTCACGAAATGACCAGCGTTGGTGTCCTTTTAGGTAGGTTCTGATCTGGTTGGTGGATAAACATTGCTATATGCCTTTTTTATCGTATCTGATCAGGTTTGGCTGCTGCAAATCGAGGCACCGCTAACACGTCTATAACAAAAATGCTGAGCATTCACATCGAAGCACTTTTACCTCCAACGTCCATGGAATTAGACATACCACAAAATCTTCAGGTTGCGGCATTAATGGGCATAGGTTTGGTATACCAAGGAACAGGTCACAGGCATATGACCGAAGTTCTTCTATCGGAAATTGGTAGACCTCCAGGTCCCGAAATGGACAACAGCATTGATAGAGAATCATATGCGTTGGCCGCTGGTTTAGCCCTAGGATTAGTGACATTGAGGCAGGCTGGAAAAACCACTGAACTGACTGATTTAAATGTACCGGATACGCTTCATTATTATATGGTTGGCGGAAATAAGAGACCTCTTACAGGTAAAACACTACAGTTTTCTGTCATTTTGTATCACACGTGCATATTATCAGGTTCCCAAAAAGACAAGTACAAAGTGACATCTTTTCAAATAAAAGAGGGATCCACTGTTAATTTGGACGTAACTGCTCCTGCAGCCACTTTGGCACTGGGTTTGATGTTTCTGGGTAGTGGTAATAAAGCAGTGGCGGATTGGATGGCGCCCCCTGCGACGCAGTATTTATTAGACTTCGTTAGACCCGATTTTCTTATGCTTCGAGCTTTAGCGAGGTGTAAGTGGTTTACTATTCGAAGTATAATCGTTGACATTTTTTGGAATTTATTTCAGCTCTTATTTTGTGGGACGAGATTGAACCTAGTCAAACTTGGGTAGAATCTCAGGTACCCAGTACCATAATACAATACTGTATAGCCCGTAGGTCATCAATAGAAAATGGTATCGATTACGAAGCTATGAAGTATGCTTTACTAATGTGGAATAAAATTGTATTATGTATATATTTGTAATTTTTTTTCAGCCAAGCTTATTGTAATATAGTGGCCGGGGCCTGTTTTGCAATCGGTTTAAAGTATGCAGGTTCTGCTGACGAGGAGGCTTACAAGACGCTTTTGTATTTCTGTTTTTTATTTACAAATCTTACTTCGAAAACCATCGCGGACTTAGCTGGGAAGCCCACTATCGAGACCTGTTTGAATGTCGTTCTTATTTCAATAGCCATAGTAAGAGCACTTTGTAGACATATTTTTTTTATTTATACACAAGTTTATTTAAGGTCATGGCTGGAACAGGCCATTTGGCAATATTGAGATTTGTGAGGCATTTGCGCAGAAGAGTAGGTGTTAGTAGCAGTTCTGTGGTTACTTACGGTTCACATTTAGCAGTTCACATGGCACTCGGTCTGTTGTTTCTTGGTGGGGGACGATATACTCTTAGTAATTCCCCTTCAAGCATTGCCGCTCTTATTTGTGCTTTTTATCCTAAATTTCCCACCCACAGTAATGACAATAGGTACCTATACCAGAGGAATAATTTTGGCAAAGGGATTATTTTTATTTGTTTTAATTAAAGATACCATCTTCAAGCATTTCGACATCTGTACGTATTAGCCGTAGAATCAAGAATTGTCATTCCCAAAGATATATCTACTGGTAAAATGTGTTATGCCTGGTTAACAGTTATTTTCTTGAATGGTAAACGGGAAGTCATGAAGGGACCTTGTCTAATTCCTGATCTGAATAGTTTATTGAGAGTTTCCATAGATGACGACAGACATTGGCCTGTTGTTTTTGAAAGAGGACGAAATTGGGATTTGCTATTGTAACTACTTAATATTTATAATGAATTTTAACGGTAATGGCTCTTTTTTGACAGGAAGCTCATAAGCTCTTCCGGCTTTATAGATGTGAAACAGAGGGCGGGTTGTTTGAGTTATGTGGAAGACAAACTCGGTTATCAGAGTGAATTGGCTCGCACATTGACTCAGTCAACGGTTATACCTTGGGATCCTCCACCTAAATCGATAATATCTTTCTCGTCCGATTCGACAGTACGCCATTTCACTAAGCATTTTTTAATTTCTAAATCGTCAGATAAAAGCGAAGAAGAAGCTACATTTCAACAAACGTTAACAAGAGCCACTTACGACTTTGTTATAAGAGATAAGTTACCTGCTTTACCAATATTAATTAGTCTTGTCAAGGTGAGTCCTTCTTACTTAAAAGGGTATGATGAAAAAATATGATATTTCATCAAAAGAAAATTATTAAAACGTCTTTGGTTTTCAGCTCATACTTTCTCTTGCAATTTTATTTTACAGATCGTTTGTGATGTTGACAAGACTCCTAACGTTTTGCAACTTTGGCAGTTCAGAATTGTTTGTCGTCATATATTGAAGCAGACGTGCGTTAGCAATTTAATATCAGGAGATTCATGCTTGGCATTGATGCAAAAACTCATGCTTAAAGTTAACGCGTGGGAACCGATTTTATTTGACAATTTGAGATCTTACCTTTTCGGTAAGCAAGTGAATTGTGTCGAAGACATAGCGAGAAAGATTGCCCTTTACGTATCTTTTTACGATATTCCGTATAACGAAAACTTACCTTGCCAAAACTGGTTGGAATTAATGTGTAATATGGATAAATTAAAAATTCCACCGCACACAATGGATAAACTTCTCACAATAATGAATTCATGATTTATTAATTAGGAGGTAATATAGTAGTCTTGAAAGAATCAGAAAAGAAAATTATTTACACTTTGATAAGTATATAATTTTTAGTTGAACGATCTTTGTAAAGATAATTTGTAAACTCTTAGTTTAATTATATAATAAAGAATGTTACTTTTCAAATGTTTTTTTTATTCCTATTTTTATATTTTATAAAAAAGTGCTCCGGTTTTTAAGTATACACCATAGAACCATGTGGTATTATTTCTGTAATTAAATAGATGTGCATTTTTAGCTCAATGTGCATCCGTGTGAGACCGGGTTAAGAATAGTCTCACCGTAGGTCCCAGCGTGTCGTAGAAGGCGACTAAAGGGTACAAATATCCGGAAAGGTTTTATTTCTTACTTTAAAACTTTTACGTGATATTTTCTTATTTAGAAGTTTTAAATAACAATTCCGCCAACAATCTAAGATAGCAACGTAAAGGCTCTGTTACACAACGCATAGATCCACCCTTCGTATATGTTCGGTGCGACCTGGAGTGCGGATGTGCGTTCTTTGACTCCTTTATGTACCGCGTTGATACCTTATGAGACAATCTGTATATTTGATCAAAAACTAACTCATCTCCGATAACATTTTTTTATAATGAAATTAGGTAGTAGGTCATATAGTATTACAGATAATAAATTTAATGCCACAATAAAAAAAACTAATATCCCCGAACTTATATAAGTATATTAATAAATAATATACTTATAGAAAGGCCTTCACTTGGGTATTCACCCCAGAAGTAATTATCAACAGTAAAAAAAATAATGGCCACATGCTTAACGNTTTTTTCTAATTGGCTATTATTTTATAAAAAAATGACCACCTGTTTTTCCAGTATCATAACCATAGAAATAATATAATTAGCCGAAACATTTTTAATATAGAAATGAATAAACTACACTCGGAGAAGTTTCACTTATTTATTAAACCTCAATGCACATTTCGCTTTCTTAGGGCATCTAAACGAATGCGAGTATCAAGAAGATGCCCTGAGAAGACGAAATTTACACTTCAGTGAAACTTCAAGTGTAGTTTATTTTATTTTGTATTGGTTCATCTGCATTATGATAACCGTTTTTCTTTTAATTCTGTTGTTGAAGTTGCTCAAATTTTAAATATTGAATAAGAGTAACTGTAATGAAAGAAACTTGTAGAAATTAGTGGTTTGGTTTAATTTTAAATCGAAAATTGTTTTCTTTTTTCTTGTATATTACATCACATTTTTTTTTTCAAGTTTTCTTGAGAGTCGATGTATCAGCAAATAAAACATCACAAATGTACTTAAAAGAGATATTTAAAATTGAACCTAACCACGATATAGAATCGTGAGGTAGATATAAGTAGATCGTTCATTATGTATCTTTCTCTGCATTGTGTAATTACCATGTCCCCTTTTTTTATTGTATAGAGAATGGCTGTAAAACGCAGTGTTATTGTTTGTATTTTGTTAGGGCGTAAGTTCGTAATAGTTGTATTATAAATAAATAAATAGTATTGTGTTGTACATAGTTTCCTAATAATAGTAATGATGATAATGATAATAACAATTAATAATTACAACATTGTATAAACTAATTGGGTTGAAGAAAATGGCTCGTTTGTAAAAGCCTTACGGTTTGACTTGTACCTGAACTCTTCCAGAAGCTGGAGCATAGTGGAGTAAAGTGCTAGTAAATTATTTGTTCGTTGTGAATCTCGAAGAAAACAAGTGGTTGAATATTATTATTAGTAGTTTTAGGTTGCCATATCAGATTTTTCCGTTTTTTTGTCGTTTAGGAAAATAGTTATGAAAGAGAGGCTTTGAAATAGTAGTGGTAGTCAACTTAAAAATAAAAATATTTTATTTGATTTAATAACAAATTGCACGTTTAGAAAATACATTATTGATAAATTGTTTACGTACGTGATGGTTAAAAGTAAATTGAAAAATGAAAAAATTTGGTATGGCAAAAGATTTTGCAGTTGTTTGCTAACATAGACTGTAATATTGAAAATTTACGTCATATTCGCCAATTATAAAAGAATTAACCAAACGGATGGCTAAAAAGTAACAAATAGTTCACATTATTTATGTACTAATTAGGTGCTGATAAAAAAATCATTATAAAATAAACTTGTTTGTTAAGCATAGTATGTTATATTTGTCTTTTTTTTATCTAATATGTAGGTAAAATAAAATACTAAAACCGGTTATTTTTTTTGTTTTTTTTTCCAGTTTTAAGACACATCAATATTAAATTTTGCATTTTCCATCCCCGTGCGAGGCCGGGGTAAGAATAGTCTCGCCGTAAGTCTCGGCGTGTCGTAAGAGGCGACTAAAGAGACGTCTTTATGACATCAGGTAAGACAATGTTATCGTGTATCCTTTTTTATCTAAACTATACTTATGCCTGTTCGAGTTTTAGAAAAATGTGAAGATTGGCTGAGGATGGAAAGGTGAATATGTAACCTGTCTGATGGTAATCTAAAATGTAAATAAATCACTAAAATCGAAAGGTTCTCGTAAAAACGTTTAAAACCCCAAAACAAGTTTCGACACCCACGGCGTCAACCTCTGAAACTCAGGTCCTTCTTTAATTAATTAGAAACCCTGGGCGTTTTAAGATAATGGAGCCCCTATGACTATGGCAGTAGACTCTTAATTTAAACCACGCAAAAGGAGATACTTATTACCAGTGCCTGAGCACCTACTGAATTGGATTGGGCATCCAATTCCAGTCGATTCAGATAATAACCCAACTTGAAAGTTCGGTTCAAATAGTTCAAGCTCGTAAATAAACAGTCGAACTCGATCTTTTCAGATTAACACCCCCACAGTATATAAATATTTATAGTATTATGAAGGGAGCACCCAGTCAAACTGTAACGTTGTTGCGCCCCTGCTTATTACTAATTACTGCTTACATCTTCAGAATCATCAGAATGCCCAAAATGCTAGTAAGTTATCAGGTATTATAGTCAGTAATTATTGTTTAATTTTCAAAAAATAAATATATTTATTTATAATATCCGTTATTGTTTGGTGATCTGGCAGGAGCCAAAAGGCCCAATCGATTGCGGGTCAAATTTAGCTTTAGAATGTAGATTAATTTAGTCTTTGAAAACCCTGGGATGTGGAAACACGTTTCAAGTTTCTAAACGTTTTTAAACGTGTAGAATTTTGAGATTAATTGTAAGTGTTTTATTTAGTTTAGTTCCACAGAATTTTTTTATATCTCAATTGTAGGTAAGAAATACAAATAAATTTTTAGAGCTATAGTGAATAAATGTTATATTTGTATTCTTTGATTAATAAATAACCGGAACCAATGTTTTCTGTTTTTTAATCTTCATAAACCCTATTACTAATCTCATTTAAGTCTCAACGCCTTGTAAGAGGTAACTAAAGGGAGGACACCAAGTAAAGCCACCTCCATTGTATGTCTAGTGCCTCTTGTACTACACATGTAACACTGGAGAACTTGAGTTTAAAAATATGTGTAATAAATACTAAATATAATAAATATTATTTATTTGAATAAAGTGGTCCACATATAGGAGGTAAACATTTTCAAAAAATGAATAAAAAAGTTGCTACTTCATCAATATTCTAGAAGAAAATAAAGCTATTTTCAATACTATTGTTTTTAGTTTGTCTTAAAAGTCCGTAATTTCATCTGATTGAAATCCTCTTACTTTTAATCTTGAGACTTACTTGGTTTCTTATTATGTGTATGCTTG